CCCCACATTTCTTGTCTTCTAGTCTTTGACAACTGTTTTATAGGTCCCTTCAGTTTTCTTATGTTGACAATGTATTCAAATCCTTGATTTTATGCATTTGGAATCCCCCCCCCCCTGCTGTTTATGCTGCCGCTATTGTGCTATCAGCCCTACATGATATAGTGATCCAATCATATTTTTTCTAACTAATATCAAACATGATGTAGGGATCCAATTATGTTTTTTGATATGCAAACTTAACGGTGTTCTGTGCAATTTACTAAATCGTGCTACGTTGGGCTGAGTGAGTATTTCTATTGTAATTTCCCATATCAAGAAATCATAGGACGTCGTTTGAGAACACGAGAAAGAAATGGGGAACAAAAGGGAGAGAAAATCTTTCTCCATCAATGAGAAAGTTCACATTCTGGTTCCTTTATTGTCACACATGTTGCATTGTTGTGGGTATTGTGTATCGGTGTATCAACATTTTAAAACTATTGTGAAGAACATGGTATCAATAGTATCTAGTGCTTCTGAACATGGGCAATGTTCGAAGATGGGGAAAATATGCTTCTTATTTGAAGTACGATGAACCTGAGGAGTTAGTTAAAACGTGGTTTGAATCCGCAAGAGCATCCATTTTCCCGGTGAATGGAATACTCTTAAGGGAGAATGCAATGAAAGGTAAACTAAGCTCGGTGTAGACTTTTCTGCTTCTAATGGATGGATAGACAGATTCCGGAAATGCTATAACGTAAACTATGAAACTGTGTGCCGTGAATCTTCTTCTGTTGACAGTGAGCGAGTTGAAGAATGGAAAAATGGTAAACTGCTTGCACTGCTAAAAAACTTTGACCCCCAAAACATTTTTAATATTATTGAAAGTGGCCTGTTCTCTTATGTCGTACTTAGAAGAACATTAAGGTTTAATGGAGGCTCTCTCTCTGCACCCACCTCTGCCCTTGCCCCTGCTGCCTTGGGGGCACTGCTTCCGCCCCTGCCTTCATCCCTGACCTTGCCTCCACTCACTTCCATTCCACTTCCACCCCTGTCCTCAACCTGATCTCCACCATTGCCTCTGCTCTTATTTTTGACTTTTCCCTGTCCTCCATCCCCATTCTTTTCCTTGCCTTCGCTTCCACTGTTGCTTCTGTCCCCAGTCTCACTTGCTTCCTCTTTCTTTCTTCCGGCCCTGCCTCATCTATATTCTTTATCCTCACCCTCACCACTGTGATGATATGAACCAAAATGCCTTTCTTTTTTGTGATCCATAACTTACAATTGTTAACGCATTATCAGTGCTGTGGTTGCTTACCATCAGGATTTAAATAAAGAGCTGACAGGAATGCAACACCTGAAAAATTGGGAATACTAAAAGTTAAATGCTCAAAACTTCAGGAGACCGTATCTTGTTCATTTGCCAGTCTCTCCTTTACAGCAATGAATTATGCACTTTTATCTTATGTAATTGCATATGTTATTCAAATGGTACCTATTTTGCGTATTTGTGTACATTTTACATCATGAGATAGTAACTTGCATTGTTTCAATCAGAACTTGAGGCTACTCAAATGTAACTGTAATTGTCTCTCTACATTCAACTAGAAAATTCTGGTTTTAAAAAATTTATTTATTTACAAAATACATTAACAGGCTGGATAAACCTGATTATGTATTTGATAAAACAGAAATGTATGGGAAGGAAATATAAAATTACTGATTTTCTATATTTGAGAAATATGATTCCTTAATTGAATAACGTGTGAAAATACCAATGTCAGTCATACCGTACATTTTGAGTTTTCCATATTTCATGAGGCGTCAAGTAATTCTCTTCCCATTCAATGTTACAGGATTCCATTTTCTTTTCAGATGGTACGATAAGAACCTGTTGTCTTTATTCTCCATTGATTTACTAGTGTTTACTAAATATTAAGTGTGTAATATTAAGTTAAAACTATTAGTGTGACTTATTGGTGTTTCTCATTGACCTCTTCATGTATTAAAGTAATGTGTGTTGCAACAATGTTCTTTAGGCTGGAATCATGACAAGTCTGAATGCACGCGTTAGTATTCTGGCGGCTGCTAATCCTGCATATGGACGTTATAATCCTAAGCGAACAGTGGAACAGAATATTCAATTGCCTGCAGCCTTGCTATCTCGTTTTGACTTGTTGTGGCTGATTCAAGATCGTCCTGACAGAGACAATGATTTGAGGTAATAGAAAATTGTTCTTTGTTCTTGAAGTTCCATGTAGAACAATTATGGACAATTCTTCCTGGTTTCAGCATTGTTCTATTCTTAGTCAGTGGTAATTCTACTATGAATAAACTTTGGTTAATGTTGATTCATATCAATAGCTAGGAAAGGTAGAAAATCTCCTGGTCTTGCCCCTCAGTGGTAAGGAAAGCTTATGTACTCCCAATTTCTATTCCATCAATTCCATGAAACTTCCCTTCAAGTGTACGTAATTTTCTTGTGCAAGTGTACATTGATGAGTTGTTCTCTCCCAACATTTTAGGTTTCCCAAGAACAAGTTGCCTAAATTTTCCCAAATATGTATATGTATATATGTGTATATGGATATATGTATTATATATTTATATATGTATTAAATGGATCATTAAAAAAAGTAACTGAAAGTTAATTTTCAATTAGCACTTTTGTGAATTCTTTTTGCAGGCTTGCACAGCATATTGCTTATGTGCACCAACATAACAAGAACCCACCTATGACCTTCCAAGCTTTAGACATGAAATTGATGCGGCGTTACATTGCCCTTTGCAAGAAAAATGAGCCCACTATTCCTGCTGATCTTTCAGATTTCATTGTTTGTAAGTGACTGAACAATTTATTAAAATCATAAGTGTATTCTGAGTAATGACAAAATAATTATCAAGATTTAGTGTGTGTGTGGATTATTTGTGTGCAGGACCTTCTTGTGGACACAAAGCACACAAGGGATGGACTGGGTGATTCATGAATATTGGCTGTAGTTAGATATTCGAAATATTGTAAATTTTTGTTCCTGTCTTGGTAACTTTGGATGACATGCACAGATTGTGTGACATAAATCATCACAGGTTCTGTGGATAATGATTTCCCAGAAAAGTACTTCCATATTTAAATGGGACTAGTTCGCTTATTTACACATCGGTGTCATAGTTGTACCAACATTACAATAAAAGGCAATGCCAAAAATGAGTTTCCATGATTTTGGTTGTGCTGTAGTAAACTATCTATTAGCTAAAATAAGAAAGAAAAAAAAGAGGTGCATGGGGAAAGAAAGAAAAAAAAACAAAAGACAGTGTTCTCGAAAATAAATAATACTGTTTGTAAAATAAAGGTAACACAGTAAACAAAATTACTTGCCATGTGTTACAATCTAGAGCAAATACATAAGGCTTTTTATGTTTTATTCTGGTAATACTTTGATTCTAAAAGATTTTGTTCAGGAATTAAAAATATTGTTAACAGGGTATTCATTTTGATTTAAAACAGAATTCAGATTTGTGATAAACCTGAAAAATCTTAGAAATTTGAATGTTAATCAAAACTTTTTGTCAATAACTGTATATAATCACAAGAACATACATGCTGAAATTTCATGGTATAGTAATAGGGAAGGGAAATTGACCAGGGGTGATAGAAGTGATATTATGCAGTTAGTTTCTAATTTTCTAGACCACAGAATTGTGTATAGGAAATTTTTATCAATTCTTTCTTTCATTTTATTTATTTCCCTGGTCAATTTCCCTTCCCTCTTACACTACCATGAAATTTCAGCAGTATGTTCTTGTGATTTTCTGTCTTTATTTAGAGGATTCTTTTTCAATCATGGAAAATATTGTAAATCTTGACATCTATAATACTAATACAACTGAAGGTTTTATTGTAATGCTTTCAAAATCACTTATTGTGTTATATTTAAAAATTCATCTACATTTTGTTACAGCTGCATATGTAGAACTGCGTAAAGAAGCTCGCAATAACAAAGATATGACTTTCACGTCAGCCCGAAATTTGCTGGCCATTCTCCGGCTCTCTACTGCTTTGGTAAGTTATATACAATATAATAGTGTAGTTTCATGAGGTTTTTCTGAGAAAGCCAGGTAACTAATAATTAAAAGGCTTTTCTGTTTGGCTATAAAATAGGGTTGCTGAAAGGCAGGAAACGTCAAAGGAATGTTAAGGCACTTATAAATGAAATAAAAATTAAATTGTGCTGAAATTGTTTATAAAATTTTTAATTTTCGCCATTAGTTACTTAATTTCGACAAATTATTATTATTTATTTATTTGTAGTTCACCATTTTACTGTTCAAATTGTATCAAGTCTGAAATTCCATGCCATTTTCTCTTTCTCGATGTGATTACATTTATAAATCCTACTCAAATTGTTGAATATATCTGGTCTCAGTCAAATGAACGAAAATAAAATAATTGTTGTTAGTTATTGTACTTTGATTACAAATGCCTAATCATGATTATGCTATAGAAAAATAAACTAGAAAATTAGCCTTGGAAATCGAAAGTTCTGCAGTGAAAAATCTGTCAAAATCAGAAAAATTGGAAATCCATTTATGTTAGACTGAAAAAGTGGTTATTGGCTTGAATCAAAATATTTATTCAGTGTTTGAGTAATGAATGTTATTTGCAGGCTCGACTGCGGCTGTCCAATATTGTTGACAAGGAAGATGTGTTGGAAGCCATTCGTCTGATGGAAATGTCTAAGGCATCTTTGCATCATAGTGAAGAAAGAGGTGCCCGGTAAGTGAATTTAGAGACAATTCGTGGGCATTATTTATATACTTTGTACTATGGTGGTCTTAATTTTGGCAATGTTTGGTATTATTTGTAAATATTTAAAAAGTGATCCTAAACTAAAATTAAAACAAGCATTTTGAGAATCTAAATATAATGGACTTCAGTGCAGTCAATTTTAATGATTAAAAAGCTTTTTGCAGATGAAGGTTCTAGTTTTGTATTGGTTACTAATTATTTTTAAATTTTTTAGGCCACAAAGTGCATTGGACAAGATTTTTGCACTAATCCGTGAATTAGCTGGTGATTCGAAGACTGTGAAATTGGCTGATGTGATGGACCGGTGCACAAATAAGGGTTTCAAACCAGACCAGGTTGAAGAGTGTATTGAAGAGTATGAAGAACTGAATGTGTGGCAGATAAACCAAGCACGCACAAAGTTGACTTTCATCAATTAATTACATCTTCATTAATGGTCTTTGCTTCATTTTCATAATCTGCCCATGTCATGTGGACAGTTTTTGCATTATTTAATTGCTGTGTAAATGAAGGTGCAACCAATGGGAAACAATGGTTTCCTTCAATTGATAAAAGACCATTAGGCAGAGGCTTTTAAAAAGTTTACTAACATGCATTTATACTGCATTATTGTTAGGTATTAGCTTCATGATGAAGTTGGACTGTCATTTTTTAGTAGCATTATTACATTTGCTTTATTTTGTATTGTAAAACAATCCATTTTATTATGAAAAAAACAACTGTAAAATGCCACCTTATTGTACACCAATTGTAATTTTTGATAACATAAATGTATTTAATGTTGAGACATTTAGAAGTTAAAAAAGTGAAAACTTGAAAACAAAAAAAATTATACATCTGAGGTGCATTAAGAGATTATTATGAATTTCCATGTAATATTCGTTCAGATTATTATTTTGTGTAAAATTTTTCAAAAATGTTTTGAATTCTATGGTAAGATTTCAAACAACTTTCTTTAAAAGTGAACAGACGAATCTCTTGTAAGAAAAATGTATTTTTTGACAATTCTTTGTAAGTATTAGTTTTGAATATATATTGTTTTTTTAAAAAAATGCATTATTGAATTGCTTGCATCCCATCGATTTTATCTTGCAAGTGCAGTCTTCGCAGTGAAGTAATGCGTCGCTAGGTATGCTGCTCGCCACTAAGTTCCAGCTGCAGCTCAGAGATGGCGCGCGCGCGGGCTGGCGGTGCGCTGAGGCGCGCGCCGCGAGAGGCCAGGTCCGGCAGCGCGCCACGGTCAGGCGGCCGCTCAGTCGCTCGTGGCATCCGTGCGGGGCGTTTCAGTGGAGCGCGTAGTCGCGGCGCCGTGCGAGAACTTATTAATAGTCGTCTGAAACGAGACACGAGGACGGGCTCGTCGCGGGTGCTGGTTTTGATGTTCGGCGCTTGAGAGCTGGCGACAATGTTCGTGTCGGCCGTGTGGATGTGCGCAGTGGTGAGCGTGTGGTGTGCGGGCTTGGCGCCGGGCGGCGTGTTGACGAGCGCGGTGCCCCGCGCGTCCACCGTCGCCTCCGCCGTCGGTCCTGCCGTCGCCGCCACCGAAGTAACGAGCTGCGCCGCCGTCAAGCCCATCTTCGAGACGAAGAACCTGTCTGTGTTCATTCCGGACACGCCGGTCGACGGTGAGTGTTCTTGGCGCGCGAGGCTCCGCGCCGTCGCTGCGACCACCACGTGAGCGCCGACCTTTAATCGGGTCACGGCTGCCCGCAGGCGACAGGCAGCGCGGGGGCGGGGATGTAAAATCGCGCGCGGGATCCCCTCCCCGTGGGCTACCTCCGTTTTCAGGCGCCGCGTGCGCTGTCAACGCGTCGGCACCCGCCGCCGTCATCGCCCCGCGTCAGCTGTGCGTGCCCTCACGCGCTCGCGCGTGCGTGCGTCTGCCATCGGCGGGAAGGTGGTGATAAGGACTCGGTTACGTCACGGGTCGAACTCGAACCCGCGTCTTTTTGGTCGTGCGCTGTTGGCAAGATTGCATCGTGCCGACGTCTGCCGCGGGTCAACGCTCCGCGGGCGCGCGGCCCGCTCCTTCGTTCTTACGCCCTCCCGTTCGCCGGGCCGCGCGCCGCCTGTCGTCGCGTTTTATTTCTGGTTATGTGTGTGTTTTGCGGTGGATTGCGGCGCCTTCTCGCCACCTTTTTTCTCGCGCGGGACCTTGGCTATTATCGCGCTCCGCCACCGACCAGAGCAAATAAGAGCAAAGGTGCGCCCAGAAAAAACCGAAGCGATCCTGCCGCGAGGGGAAAATTATCTACACTTTCGAATTCAATTAAGGCGTTTTTCTCGGCGGGGCCGGTGACGCGGGCGGCGGTGTCGCCACCTCCACCGCACCGGCTCGCCTGCACCGCAGCGGCCGCTGAGTGCGTCTGCTATTTCGGCGGCCGGGGCATATTTTTAGTGCTGGCAGATCGCGCTGCGCCCTCGCACGCCCGCCGCGAACGCGCCCACCGCGTCTCGTCGCCCCCGGGCAGGTGCGGTGTGCAAATGCTCGCCGGCCGGCCGGCCGACGGGGTTGCTCCTTGACCTTCGACTGCCGCGGTGAGCGCTCGGTCCCAGCGCGCAGCGCAGGGCTGCTCCGGGAACTCACGTGGGTCCTTTGCTGCTGTGGTCAGGGACTTGCGTGGAGTGGGGCGCCCCCCTCCGACTGCCCGTGTCACTGCTTACCTTTGGTTTTGTACAAAGCCAATTACGAAACAAGGGTGGGAAGAAAATTATGCACGAAAATCACGAGTTAACAGGATTCGATACAATACAACAATTAAGTTACGTAATTCTTTCATATTTGTTGGTGGTGAAAGGGTGTTTGTTATAAGTTTGTCAGTGATAATGCAGTCATTTCCTTTTGGGAATTTTGTGAAACAAGCAATGTGAGATATATCAAGCGCTTCATTCAATATTCATATTCCTTCGGGTCTGTGATAACTTACCGTTGTTTAATTGAATTGCAATAATTTTTGCTTCATATTAAATGCCAGTTCACATTGAAAATGCATCCATTTTTTTCAGTTAACCTTTTTAAGGGTGATTTGTACGCTCATTTCAATGAATATGAAAGTTTTGTAAAGTTTTATCAATTTATAATAACGAAAATAATTCCCATTCACATCAGTATTCGCACTTCACTCATCTAAAGATTTAATTGAATGCAACACGTCTGTTTACAACTCCCCAGTCATTTGTCATTATGATATTTGTATTTTAATAAATCCACGTAGTTCTAGGTACTTAACTTTTAGTGTTATATGAATGTTCTAATCAATCTTCGCCGCTATCATTCATTTTGACATAGACCTTGATTTCTGAATCACAAATTTTCAATGCAAAATGAAATGCAGGAGCCGCTTTAAAATTGTATATTAAAAAAAAATTAGTTAATTTATTTGGTTATTTTTTTCGAACCCAACTTTTGTACGTATTGGAGAATTCAAAAAAATGAACAAATAAATGTTTATTCTAATTTGGAAAGCTTTTTCGCACGCATGCATCTCTTTAAAAAATGCAAATTACGAAGGCTGCGATTTTGAGAACAAGGTTTTCCATCGTAAATTTTAACCGAATCAAATGTTGAATTTCGAGCGGACTTCACTCCGTTAATAAAAATATCTTCTATGATCATCTATCATGGAGCGAAGGTTGCATAATTTGATTACACGTTTAATTGTATTTATTAACCAAAATTACAAACGAGATAATGATATAAAGATATAAAAGAGACCGACATGTTCCTAAGTGTATTTGAAAACTAAGGAACAATCTTCAATTAATCCTCTTCTAAGAAAAGGACATCAATTAAAGTGAAACACACATGAATTAAAATAGAAATGACACAGAAATTACACACAGTGGAGTATGGAGTTCTAAGGGCCGGTGTGGTAAATCAACACCAGAAACAACGAATGAAACTCTTCCGTATTGTATTTCATAGAATATAAAAGATCCTATGCTAAGAAAGAATTGTAATTCCGAGTTAGTTATTATGAAGCAGTGTTTTAAATAAATTAGTCCTTAGTAAATGAGATTTTCCTCGAGAGGAAACTCGGGTATAATGGTAGTTATTAATGAAACATGTTTAATATGAACATCACAATCGTGGAACTTTCACACTTTTGACTTCGATTATAGTGGCATTTATATTTGACTCTCTATTACGGCTACGTTACATCTGGTACTTATTATTTTATTGCAATAGCCAAATTTGTTTTGTTTTATATTAGCATTATTCTTTAGAAAACACTACTAATTTCCTGTTTATTACAAAATGTTTTTCTTTTATCTGCGAAGAAAAGTTTTGTGAAGACATTATGATATTTGTATTTTAATAAATCCACGTAGTTCTAGGTATTTATCTTTTAGTGTTATATCAATGTTCTAATCAATCTTCGCCACAAAGTAGATAAATATATAATGAATTACATACGTTGTAAAATCCTGTGGTATTCGTATTGCAGTAGAATGATAAATATTTTTCTTCTCGTATTACTGGAAAGATGTCTCTACAATAAAGTTCTAATCTTTAGTTTTCCTTTTATGTTAAATTTTTAATCTCTTGTTCATTGCAAATTCCTAATTTTTTAAAAGTGTTTCATCGTTTGTGATAGTTCTATATAAAGGTGACAGTACATTCTACCACACACACTTAACACTTGTGAAATGGGAATGAGAGTGCAGAGGAGTAATTCACTTACGATGTTATATTTCGTAGCATCAATTGCGACGGGAGTTGATACTTCTCGTATTAAATGTGTATACGTACTGAGTTTTAGTACCATGCGCTCGTATCAGGAATATTGGACATATCTGCTACCGGTCCATTTCAAACCACGACGCATGGCGTTGAATCGGGACGGAGGACAGGTGAGTTTTCTGGTGGGCCCGGGGCGAGGGACGAGTGGGTGTGTGTGTGTGCGCGCGCGGCGGCGGCGGCCCAGACATCCGTCAAGGGCGTCGCAAAGCGCAGTCGCCCGTCTGTGCGACCTTCGCCGCCGCGCAGGCTGCCGTCGCCGTCGCCACAACGGGCGCTCGCCCGCGCCCCGTGCGCAGCGGCCGGGAATCCGTGGGGAGGGGGAAGAGGTGGACGGGCGGGCAGGCGCGAGGTGCAGTGTGATGCTGCGCTTTTTGCGGGCCCTCCCCCTTCCTCCGTGCGGCAGCGGCGGCGCGGAGAGTGGTGGGGGCTGACGGGGGAGGAGGAGGGGAGGTGGCGAGACGCTTGTCCTAAACCGCAAACGGACTCGTCGGACGCACGCGCGTTGGAATGTAGCTCCGGACGGGGAGGTGGCGGGTGCAGCCTGTTTGGAAAATAAACAGCGGAGGGGGGAGAACTCTGCGAGGAACTAGCAAGCTATTGACATGGCAGTTTAGCGAAATGGATTGAATTAAATGTGATAATAATAATAATTATTATTACTACTATTGCAATAATTTTTTTTCGTGATTCATGTGGAACGTTACATCCGTTAGAAAGCATACACAAAAGCATGGCCCAAATTTTCTTTACAGCAAAGAGGCATCTGTTAAGGTTTAGATGCTAATATTCTGTTGCTTTCTTCTGTGCACGAAGGGCTAGTAATTAGATTCTGTAACATTATTAATGTCATATCTGAAATATAAGTTCCAAGCTGTAAAATGTAAATAATTGATGTAAAAAGCGTAATTGTATAGTTTTTTTTTATTATCTCTTATTGAACTTACTGAGGTCGTTGATAACTTTATCGTTGATGCGACTCAAAGTAAGTATATTCAAAAAATTGCTGAAAGCTATTCGTAATTCACATTTGAAGGAAATTCAACAAGAAACAATGATTATTTTTGTATGTTGCTAGTTGCTCGATACCACAAGAACATCCGAATATGAAACACCTTTTCCTACATTAAAAAATAAAATCACCAACGATAATTTTAATCAACAGTACAAGTATTCAATTATTGAAAGCAAAACGTGAGAAAAAGTGATTGCTATCTCGAAAAAATGTTATCGCGAGAGCAGTGATGAAATCAAAAATGTTCACAGCCGTACCAAAGAAAAAAAAATTGAAGCGGTAATCTCAAAACGAAAGTTATTTTCATAGTGATAATTCAACTTAAATTAGATACAACAAAGAAACATGAATGAAAAATATTACAAATACGTCAAACTATTTGTAAATACATATTAACACAGGAAAATCTATAAAAAGATAAAATAAAAGAGGCCCCCTTTCATTTCATGGATTTCTTTCTCGGAAGCGTTGCGTATAACTACGCACCTGGGGAACGCCGCTTGCAATGTTAACAACTTCCTGAGTGTGTGTTACTCGTGGGCCGTGATAGTATGGTTGAAATATCGCAAAGGTGATACAGGCCTCGTCTCGTCCCGAGCAAAATCTAGCTAAACGACGGGAGGGGAAGGGGCCAAGGATGAGGAAGGACAGTGGCTCATTTGTGAAGTAGCGCTTCGGCATTCGCCTAGTAATGATCGGGGAAATCACGGAAAACTACCAATCAGAGCAGCCGGCCGCTAAAATTCTCCTCCAGGTAGCTGGTGAATCCGATCCATCTATCTACAGTCCCTGGCCATTTTAATGTGACTGCAGTTTCTACATTTCGCCAATCTGTTCTTTCTTGGTAATATTTGCTACTGATATCTTAC